AAACAATGCTTGTCTGTCGGTTGAAGTTTATTATGATAATCTTTAACAGACAATGTAATAAGTGTCGATAAAATTGCGTCAGAATTTACGCTAAGTCCTTATGTTTGTTAAATGATAAGATTTAATCACTTATTTACTATCATTTGATAGTTTTACGCAAACGTAATATTTTTAATTTTTCTGTATAATGTTTACGTCATAAGTGCTTGATAGGAAGAACAATTTCCTTTTTGTGCGTATCATCATTATACATGTCACAGGGTGAGAAAAATGTGCAGTCTGACAGGGCCTCGAATCCGGGAGCCTCGACATACAGTTCCGCGGCTGAGCTATCCGGTCGCTTACACATTTTCTCCTCTACATAGTGTACAGTTCTGAACCATGACACATGCAAATCATGATCAACGGTTCATTCAACAGACATAACTACTAATTAAGTGCTACATTGTATATATTTCTCCACTCAAGACAATCAACTTCCCCACAAAATTAAAGGAGATAGCCGAGATATGCTACTGTAAACTATAAAAGGCTCTTATCTTCGCATATAGCTGTTGCAGTCGGTTCGCTCAATAGGTAGAGCGTTGGACTATGAATCGGTCAAACTGGGTTCAATTCCCGGACGATGCAGGTCAGTTTCTTTGCGACGGTGCATCTTTGCTCAAGCATGTTCATAAACTATCAGTTCCTCTGCCCTGGCATGTACAGAAGTTATCAGTTCCAGGCAACTAATATTGGTTTACTGCTTAACAACCGGGCGGTTTAACTATGCTCTGGTGAATTCAAAGTGGTCTACTGGCGTGATTCAGAAGGTAAATTACAACCACCACAACCAGCATATAGCTCCAGTTTACGTAACTATAATTTTGTAATATTGTAGTGGTCATGCTTGGCTATACAACATAGTATATGTTCGCACTTAGAGATTTAATAACAATGTGCCACTGTCCATGACTAAGATTTATTTACTGTCTCTGTAAGTTGAAATTTTCTACGTACATTTGTGAAATTAAATTGTAGTCTCTTACGAATGTAAAGTGGTTTTTTGAATCATTATTTCTTCAAACGAGGCCGTAAACTTGCTTTATTACATCGTATACAGCTTACGACCTTGGTAGTTTTCTCGTGAGCTGTATACGTTGACGGTGACGCCGTATACAGTACACACCCTTAGCTGTATACGTCAAGATGCCGCATATCACCGTATATACCAAGTTTTTTTCTCCCTCGACTACGACGACTTCATTTGTAGCCAACGACGACAACCGCGTAATCCACGCAAAGTTGACTACAAGTATACAGCTACAACTACAATGTATGATGGCTACAACTTCTACGAGTACGTCTACGACATTTACGAGTACGCCGACTAAAACTGCCATTTCTACGACTTTTTTTACACGATAACAGCCACAATGCCTACCAAAACTACGAATATGATTTTAAAGACTACGCCGACAACTACGACTTCGCATTATAAAACTACGGCGACAACTAGAGCGACAAGTTCGACTACGAATAAGTCTTCTATGACTTTTTACGACTGTACGACTAATACTTCCTCGGCCACTAGTATTTTAGACTTCTATTATTTCTAGAACAGCTACAACAGTAGAACCACGTTTTTACATTGATGTGTCTCCCACACGACGGCTACGACTACGGTGACTACGACTTTTACGACAACGGCGTTAGATATATACGTCACCTAAGCTGTTAAGGGTCCAAAAATACTCTAAGTCTTGCCAAACCACGATTATAACAAATATTTCTCAATTTCTCAAGGCACAATTTGTTTCCATTAAAACGCGTTAATTAAAAAAACTTGTAACATCTGATTCTCATTTTTTTACTTTATATTTTTTTTAATTTTTGCATTTCTATCGATCGCTGTGAAACAGTACATAGTTTATTAACAACATGCCAGGAATTTTCATTTATCTTTCAACCACCCAACAAGCATAATACCAAACTGTCATTCATCGGTCTTAAATCAAAATAAACTTTATTGGTGCCATGTTTTTTGTAAATTGTTATTTTTCAAAATGACAAAATTCGGCTGCAGTGGAAATTAGGACATGTCGACACCCAAAAGATTTAAACATCCATACGTTGTGACAGTATTCAAGTAGGAATACTGGAACCACCCAAGTTAACAAGGGCTATCACAGGAGACAGCGAAGCTCGACTAATAAAATACGAGACGCAGTAAAGAAGACAAAACCATAAAGAAGGTTTTTTTAGGTGATTGGTGCCCAATTTATAATGCATGTTGTGTATCAATCTATTGTCACTTCGGACCCTCGCCCCTAGATATAGCGCGGGTTATTAACACCCTGGTAAAGACCAATTCTTACGAGGGAGGTCAAACGGTAAATTTCGCATTAAATGTCCCGTCACAGCGTACTGTAAATTTTCTCCGTTATTTTGGCGCCAAAAACCCCGGATTAACCAGGCAGTGTTAGGACATGCACTGTCCCCGGCAGCTAGGGTTACAAATCCTGGACAATAAGATTTCGAATATAATATTCAATATCTGTTTTCATTTTTGATGAAATACATTTTCAATTTATGTATGATTGAATTCTTTTAGTTTCACCAGTTTCGTTTAAACATTGCTTAGTATGTTAAACTGCATTGTATGCAAAACAGCTGGAATTCATGGGTAAATGTAAGACAAAATGTTTGTTTGCTCATTGGCCTATATAAATCGCTAATTACCTGAGCTCAAAACGAAAAGAAAGAAATACGCGTTAATACCGTGCAATGAATAAATGCATAAATAACGAATCTCAGTTTATTTATTTTTTCATATATATAAAAAAATCTACTTTGATCAAAAACGGTAAGAAGATGTTAATACAAATAAAAACTGCATTTTTTATTCATGTAATGTACAGTGTAATGTTTGATGCCAGAAAATGTAGCCAAAGTTTGCAAACAGGTGGTCATATCAAACGTAAATATTTGTTTGAGAACAATTTAAACAATCTAAACAGAAGCCCCGCTGAAATATTACATTTTTCAACAACAATGCTGTCTGGTATTATAACATGTAAACCGGTATCAAAACGTCAAAAAGTGCACTAACATATTTATGTAACAGAACAATCCGGTGCGACTGAATCAACAAATGTCAAACACTATAAAAGATACATAGCGAACATGTGTGCAATATGTCGGTAGTAATGAATAGTTTTTTGCTTAACAGTCTGAGTATTGTGATATAACAGTAGTTTGACTGCTATAGCTATGTAATGATTCGCGAGCGGTCAATTCCTTTAATTTCTATCCGGTTTAAAGATGCACGCGTCCAACTGAACAAAAATTATTCAAGAAAAATCAAACAAGAGAAAAATGTACTAAGGCTTTAAGAAAAGTAAACAGATTTCGAGATTCAAGTAATACTGTTTTACATGACGTTGTGTGTGTGATTAATATGTGATTTTGCAGTATTTATCCCAATATATCTACTGCGTGACTAACGCAGTAAGGTATATTTCTGCATATTTTGATCTCTTTCTGGTGATTTACGTGGATTGTAAGTGCAGTTTACAATGTGCCACTTACTGTTTTTGTAACTGTCTATAATATTGTTATCATCCATGTATTTCAATATCAAGAGCCTAAAAATTGTATATCCGGAAAAACGATATAAAGCTAAATCTATTGAAATATATTTCTAAAAAATATAAATGTTTCCATAATCTTTTGGTATATTCCAAAAAGAGTTGTATTATAGAATGTCTCTATTATGTTGCACATTGAAACATAGTGAAATGTTCAGGAATAAAATGTTATGCTGCTATTTTTTATGAGCAACGATTTCGTGCATATACTATACGCTCTTAAGAAAAAATTCAGATATTCTTCATTCATACATGTAATTTATAATCATTTTCAGTCAAAAATAAATCAAATGTACAGTCAGCAGATATGAAGCTTTATACACTTTTAAGGCAGATTTATTAAGACAATGCGTATAGAAGAAATGACCATATCTGTCTATTCGCTGGATAAAAATATTGCTTTTTTTAATTTTTGATTTTTAATTGTTAGTATTAAAATATGATTTTATACAGTCTCTTACATTTATAACTACATGTATTGGCAATGTACGTAATGAATGTTTTTTTTGTTGTTTTTTTTTTTTTTTTTTTGGTTACTTATATGTAAATGTTTTTGTATTTTATAATTTGCGTACCTTGATGACACTTTAACAAACTTTAATTTATGAAATATCTATGACAATTTGGATACTATTTGAAATATAATTGTACTAGATGACCTAGGAAATTTGGTGATCAGTTATATAGATATATGTATTCACGTGATTTAGTCCAGAAGCGATCATAATGTATAAAATTATTTAGAAATGCAAAGTCAATGGAAGCATAAAAAATGTCTAAATAAAACATCACAGTACACCGTCCTTGTTATACTGTCTCACCAAAAACTAATGTACTTCTAAATTTTGTCACGGTATGATATATGGAATCATATGAGCCGCGTCACGACAAAACCAACATAATTGGTTTGCGACCATCATGGATCCAGACCAGCCTTCTTATAGGGTTTGTAAGCGAACAGCATGGATCCTGATCAGACTGCGCGGATGCGCAGGCTGGTCTGGATCCATGCTGGTCGCAAACCCATTATGATGGTTTTGTCGTGACGCGGCTCTTATTATAGTCTTGTCAAGGTGATGAGGTATACTCAAACTTGACAGCATTTCAACACTTCCGTATGCAATGCATTCATTTGCAAATCTAATAACTTATTAGAAATACAGTTCCTTTTACTGTCTGAAATGTAGTTAGCATAATTAATTACGTGACCTTTATAGCTGAACAATAATTGCATTTATAATTAGATACTTCTTCGGGCTATCGCGTCGTACTATATAGTTCGCATGTAAATATAATAGAAAATGCTGGTCTGCTTTGGTACAGTACTAGTTCACATGTAAATATATCAGAAAATGTTTACCTTCATTGATACACTTCTAGTTTATATGTTAATATATCAGAAAAGGTATAGTCGTATATCAGAAAATGTTTGTCTGATTTGGTACAGTACTGCTTTGGTAAAGTGTTCATATGTAAATATATCAGAAAATGTTTGTATGTAAATATATCAGAAAGTTTTGCAAGATCTCATTTTAAACGAGATTGTAAACGTGAACAACTTCTCCAAGGCCAACTACAACCATTTTGTTTCCCATCGGCTCTATAGCGACATCTTGCGGAGATATTGGAACCAAAATCGACTTTATGAGCGTTCCATCTGGAGAAATTTGAAGAACTTGCCCCGAGTCATGAGAGCAGACGTAAATATTCCCTTGACAATCAAGCGCCATTCCACGAAGATCCGTTCGTCTGTACGTGTTTCGAAATACCTGCTTTCCTGCTCCATTATAGCAAGCAATGGTATCTCGATCAGACATGTAGATGTAATTTTTCACGGAGTCATAAGCCACGCCTCCTAACCCTTTGTAATCTCGTTTACGGGTGATGGTTCTTTCTACACGACCATTCTTTTCTATGATAGACAAACTTCTACAAGCTTTTGAGTAGCATATACCGACAAGTTTCCCGCGGTAACTACTTATTCTATACGCCTTAAAGGAGGTGTGTAGTTCCCGGATATTTGCCAAGAATTTGCCATCCAATGACATAAGCTTGATAACGCATTCTTCCGGAAGTGCTATTGCGGCCATTTTGTCTGGTAGCATGCAGACTCCGCGGGGAGGTGAATTTAACTTCGAAGATGACCGAAACATTCCGAATGCGTCAAACAGCTTCACAGAGCAGTTGTTGAAATCAGACAATATAATTTCACCGGTATCGGATATGTCCACCGAATTGAAGATGCTACCGTTCCGATCGCCTTTGATTTTACCGTTTATAATTCCATTCTTCTGTGCAGAACAGTGCCTGAAGGGTTTGGACATTTCGCGTTTTTCAGTGATTTCAACATAGCCCATTCGATCAACCATTTTTGCCATTCGAACGAGATTTTCGTCAGCTGTAAACATCAGATCAATGTCCTTGTAGTCAATTCGCTCGTTGTCAGCCATATTTTCGTATTTTTCCACTTCATCCTTGAGCGTCTGTGTGACTAAGACTTGCTGGTAATCGGTCCCGCTTTCTAATGTATTTTGAATAGTTGACAGAGTACTTTGTATAGAATCTCTAAGTCCCTTACTGCGGTCTATTTTCCCTTGTAAGATGTCTTCATAATCACGACAAACGGCGTCAATTTCTTCTTTCATCTTTTCCTCCAGTTCATCAAGAAGTTGTATTATAGACATCTTCAACTTAGAAACCTCGTCTAGAATTCCCTCTTTCTTCGTGATCAGCCTATTTTTCGACTGTTCCTTGATAGATAAGACATGGTCTACAATGTTGATGCAATGCCTTAGTCTTTGCTGCAACGATTTGTTAGTTTTCTGAGACCTATGTGTCTGGGCGACTCTGTCAACGCCCAGTATGGTATCACAGCGTCGATGATGGATTGCCACACAGGTGTTACACACCATTGTCTGGTGGTCTTGGCAGTATAGATCTAACAATTTACCCCGATGTTCTGGGCAGATTTCACGGGATCGGATCATGTGTATGGGTTTTTCCTTTACGTCATCAATATCCATCAACGCGTGTGTTTTAGTTATCCTCATTCCTCGGTGACTTTTCGTGCACATATCACATAGAGACTCTCTGCACGTGGGGCAATAGTATAAAGCCTGAACGACCTCGTCATTTGCTGAACATGGGTTACACTTTTTATCATTACGTAGTGTTAACGCCATGGACCGATCATTGCTTTTATTAAATTGCTCCGCAAACTCGTCCATGGACGATCTTCTAGATCGTGACGTCATAGTTACAGACCCGCCTGGCAATTCGGGGGCCCACTCTCCACTTTCGTTCTCAGCTTTTTCAGATTTAGGAACTGGGTTTATCTCCTGACAAACTGGACACGGAAAGAACCTACTCTTACCTCCCGGAAGTTTAGCTATGTAAATATCCAAGCAAGTTTCACAGAAGGAATGCAGACAAGTCAAGCTCTTTGGGTTTTTAAAACGGCTATGACACAATTGGCAGTTAAGAAGTTCGTCCGAAAAAGCGTTAATGGATGATTTTCTCGGTGTAACGCGGGTTTGCGTTAACTTAAAAGTCTCGCCAACTTCCGAGTCTGTATCCATTTGGGACAGACGCGAAAACATTCTGAAGTTTTATTAGTGCAAAACCTTTTGATAAAACCATGTCATCACATTTTATATAATCCCATTCAATAACACAAACGTATTGTCATTGTATTTAAGTGAAATTACTTTTAATGTTTTAAACGGGACATTTGTTTAAATGCTTGAAAGAGCGGTTTCGAAGCGGGTGACCAAGGAATCGCTGGATCGGTCGGCTGCACAGCATTGTACAAGTTGTTAAGATATTCGCTGTTTCTTTTGTCTGATTTTATTTCTTTTGTTTCATTAATCGTTGTGCTTTATTACTACATTGTTTAAGTAGATACTATTACTAATGTTTGACGGTATTAGAGTATGACGACGCATATTTGAAAGTAACATTAACTTTCTTAAAGGAGCTTCACTGTAACTTTCTTAAAGAAGCTTCACCGAAGTACAAAAGCCTAAAAACATAAAATTTGTAAATCTTACGAAGATAAACAAGGGTACATAAAATGGGAAAATAATCTTTAAAAATTAACAAATAAAATATATTTGCATAATTCAATTTTTTAATGTCCATGTTAAGTTATGCAATGACGGGAGTTTAACGCGTTACGCTTTTCGTTTTTATGTAATTTTGCACAAAAGAAACGATCATTTCATAACAACGTATAGCCAGCAAATAATTTGAAATTCTGCATACAAGTTATTGTATGACAAAAATTTCTAGTTCCGTCATATGAAAAAAACCTCAGTGAAGTCCCTTTAATAATCTATATACATGTATTTTTTCATACATATTGCATATCGAGTTTCAGTTATTACTCGGTTACTAAACTTTTAATGATTGCAATATGTTCTTTTTCAGCATATTTATGTAATCTTAAATTTTATAAAACTGGTTGAGAAAAAAAAATCAGCTTTATATACGTGTTCTTTTTCATATATTGCATAACGAGTTTCAGTGTTTACTCTGTTACCAAACTTTTAATGATTTCAATGCGTCATTTATTTAATTTTAAATTTTATGAAATTGGTCGAGAAAATGTTGGATTGAAACTGTACATTCTCACTGCTCTGTCAGTAGGCAAAACAAAACGCAATGCTTCATATAACATTGACTTAAAACATAACAAATAAAATTTTTTTGAAGTTTAAGACTTCTATTCGATAACAGCTAATTTGTTCCCTTCTATTGTTTTGGGAACGGGTTGCTCAGTGAAGTGCACCTGTAGGATATTAAGTTTAATTTATTTATTTTTCGTTTTTTTTTATAGTTAAGAATAGATTTGTCTTTTTTATGTTACATGTTTAAAGATAGCTCATTAAAGCTCATTGCTCAGTCTTAACATTCCGAGTGGATTCCGAGTACTGGGATAAAGTATGCTCCCGGTATCATTTAAAAGCGTGAAAACGCTTTATTCCTTTCGTCACCCTTGTATCTATTTAACAGTGTTATCAAGGCTTCTATGAAAAATTGTATTTTCACTTTTCATTTGTTACAGGAATCACACAGTCATGCTGATATAAGATTTTTAATGAGAGAGACATCTTAAAAGTGTAAAGGTTTTATCACATATTATCAATCAAAATGAATTTGCGAATATTATTGTAAATGCGGAACATGGTGGAAAAAAAAAAATTACCATACAGCATTTAAATGATCTTTATTACAAATATAAAAGATAAAAATGATACACATATAAAAAGTACAAAAAAGAGATCAAAGAGATCAAGAGATCGTATTTAAAAAAAATCGTCATTCAAATTTATTCCACAAGGGAGATTAACACTACACTTGGTTAAAATGATGTATGTAGAGTTGTCTATCTTGGCGTCCAAATATTTCGTGATTTAGCAAGGGGACTCTTCCCCAGAATCTATAGAAGCGTTTTCCTCTTCAGCTGCACATTGTTCTTGTACCTTAGCTTCATTTTCATACGTTACACCACATACAGGCATCCAGTAAAACAATTTTCGCTCCCATGTTGACCTAAAATTTGAACTTTGTTTGTTGTTGCAAGTTTTCTTTAAGGCTAGCTCTTCTTGAAGTTGTTCCCGCGGGAAAAATGCCGGCTCGGACTGGGACCAATTATAAAGTCTGAAAACGAAATTCAGTGATGTAATTTCATAGTTATCTTCATGTACATCTGTATTTTTGTTTGTAAGAAAGTTGTTTATTTTTAGAATGCAAAGAGTATTCTATTTCATTTATAATTGATCACGTGAGCGAAAAGGTCACTAAAGTTGCACGACTCCAAATGAACGGTTTGAAGTATCTAAAGAAGTTTGGTATCTAGAGATAATCTAATTCGTTTACAGTCCTATATTGAAAAAGATGTTCGTTTTTTTAAAAAGTATTCTGGAATAATCCTGAGAATTTTCACCCATCATGACAACTTCTCTACAAGCAAGAAGTTTAATATTTACAAATTCTTTAAAGATGAACACTCTTGATACTGGGATACCATATGTAATGATTGCAAATAAAATAAAAATAATTGTAAAACAAAACAAATAATTTTACCTAAGGTATTTTACTATAGCAACTCCTGGAATCCACAATGTCGGTGTCAGAATCAAAAACGCTGCAAGAAACTTACACCACCATGGCCACGGCTTTGTTACGTTTTCACCCTAATTAACAACAACAAAAGAATAATTATGTTATTTAGATAACATAATGAAAGGCTTTATTCAAATAAGATATCATTCATTTGTCTTAAATTCTACACAATCGATATTCTTTATAAGTCTTGACTTTCTAATAATTATCTGTCAACATTTTAAATACATTTGCCTGTATATACATACGAAAACAATTTAAGAAAGCACTTAATTTTAAACAAATTCGCAGTTATATGATGATCACTTCCTAAATGTTTTGTATGACAAATCGCAAATTTAGACGATTTATTGGTTATGCAGTTAAGCTTTTGGTTCGTCGCACCAACACAGAAGAAGAAATATGGCGACTTTCCTGCTTTATTTTTTTTCGCGTTCTACCTTAATCCTCACATGCAGAAATTAAAAATCTCTTGCGGGATTCAAGCGTACAGTAGTGAGAGGCAAGTAGTTTGAAGTCAACGATCTTAACCACTCGGCCAGGGATGCCCCTTCATATGACAAAACCGAATATTTTATCGATATTTATAATTAAGAAATAACGAATCTTTTTATCCATATTTAGATCTTTATTTTAAATTAAGTAGTTACGTCGCAAGTTAAATAAGTATTCTTACCAGATGACTGTGCCATGCTTCATAAGTAGTGCCTGTAAACATATTACCAAGACTGGCCAATAATATGACAGTCATAGCAAGAGGTGAAATATACTTCCAACAGGCCATCCAGTACCAGTTTGGCCTTTGTCCAGTCATCAACTCAATGTCGTCACCAAACCTATATATTACATCATCGTGATTATAATCCAAATATGAATGTAAGTAAAAAAATATCCGTCACTTATATGATAAAACAAAAATGTGTCATAGTTCTTATTTGACTTACATCTAAAGATACATGAATATATAAAATAAATTATATTGTTTCCGATATATTAAAGCTTCATTATTACATCAGTACAATATAGAATTTTGATATAGTGAGATAATAACGTTTGATACACATGTATAATACAACAAAGTGCTATTTTACTATTTCATGTGTTTATTTACCTTACACAAAGCAATATTACATTCGTAACAACTCGGCTGTTTCCGACAACTCAGTAAAATCAATATTGGCAATATTAATTTTTTTTAAAGAAACCACATTCAGTTTTAATATTAACCTATCTTCACTTACTACTACTAAATGAAACAGCATCATAGTCAATATTTATTTTATTCATTTATTAATCTATTTGCTGAAATTTTATTAATTTGCATTAAGAATCCTCCTATAACTATCTGCTAAATGTTGTTATACCTTTTCAAGCCGTAGATATACGATACAGCGAGGACCTGGGAGAGAGCGACGATCAGCAAGGGGATATTACCACTGTACTCGTCAAACAAGGTAAATATATACGCCCCTGCCTGGTTAGCAAAACATAGAGACATTACAAACGATCCGCCACATATCCCAGCTGAAATAACGAGTAGATAAACTTTAAATTATGTATTAATGAAATATAATCTATGCCACGTAACATAATATAATTAAATATTGTTTTATATGACTAAATAACAAATAATTGCAGGAGCATATTTAACAAGCCATAATTAACAGATCGTTACATGTGATATAAATGGACACTCTAGAAAGATTTTCAAATAATATTTCAGCATTAAACTAGGATTAAATATACAGTTTATTTCATAAGTGTCAGTTCGTCAGTATTTCTTTAAGGAAAAAAAACAACATCATTTTCATTTCTTTCTTCTTTTTTTTTAATTCTTCTTATTTTTATTTTTTTTTTTTGGGGGGGGGGGTTAGGAGGGGCGTGATGGGTGTTTGTGGGGCGGGGGTAGGATTTGTTTGTTGAGGCAAGATACGATGTCTTGGCTTACACATACATATAAATCATGTTTTACGATATGAACGCCAGATACACACCTGACATAACTCTATCATTACAAAATATAATAACTTTCATTCAAACCACAAACGGCGCCCTGACTAAATGGACATGTATTCATATATACTTACTTAAATATATTGTACAAGGAGACATTTTTAGAAAATAAAGTAATAAAAAACACTTACTAAAATAATGCCATTTCTTAGCTTTGGGTATCAAGTTCAAGTCCATCAAAGAAGTGACGACACTTTCGACCATTCCGAACATACTGTCCAGACCTAGTGTCAGTAACATCAGAAAGAAAAGGACAGACCAAAGTTGAGCAACCGGAAATTGATTGATAGCTTCGGTAAATGCCATAAACACGAGTCCGGTACCAGATGCCGACTGAAAACAGAAACATTAATTTATTTATACAATATGTCTAAACATAATAATGTGCAATTAATATGATAATAAATTATCTTATATACACAATATAATATGTTTGAGATGAGCCGGTCATTCATCTTTCTTTATTCTTAACTTCTCATACTTGATGGTGTTTCGGTTTATGCTCTGGCCGCTGACAGCAACATGGAACAATCTTATGTCACCCTCGGTTTTAAAGTTGATTGGTCTACAAAGGGCACATTTTCCATATGTATTTCAAATACATGTTTTGGAAATAAAAAAAATACAAATGGATCACTCGTATATAAAGTTGTTATAAAATAATTTCTTGAAATAAAAATGTGTAAAGAGCTCAAGGTGATTTAGTGTGTACATTTATACGATGAATAATAATATTTTGTTTTAGAACAGTTCATTATCATGTATAGATATGTACTATTGGATCATGTATCTACCACTGACCAACAACATCTATATATGAGCCGCGTCACGACAAAACCAACATAATGGCATCCGCGCAGTCTGATCAGGATCCATGCTGTTCGCTATCAGTATCTCTATTTTTATAGAGTTGGTAAGCGAACAGCATGGATCCTGATCAGACTGTGCAGATGCGCAGGCTGGTCTGGATCCATGCTGGTCGCAAACCCATTATGTTGGTTTTGTCGTAACGCGGCTCATATAATTTGTTCGTGGTTTGTTGTCTTGTAATAATAATCAACATGATTATTCATGGTATTACATCAATCCATTATGGACAAATTCACTTTAAGAATGAGATACCTTAGTTTTATTGTGTGACTCGCTACAGTAGAACTTTGTTAACATGACCGATTCTTTTCCAATAGTGGTTATTATAATGAGGTGGTCTCTATCTCAGGAAAAGCTTTACCTTTTCTATTTCCTGCTTCAAATCACAGGTTGGCAGTTCCGGCATTTCTCCGACTACAGTATACCAGGTGTTGGTATCGTTATTAAACATCGTGAAGTTAACTAAGGTCCCAGTTGTCGGTAGTTCACTGTATGTACTGTTGAATAATCTCTGAAGCTCCGCGTTTCGCTCCATCATACAATTATTAAAACTCTGTGTTGCCTTAAATCCTGACAAAAATGAAAACAAAATACACAAACTGACACACAAATAAAAATTCACTGTGATAGAAAACGACAATGTTCAATAATTTCGTGTAATTAGGATTCTGCTACTATAAATAGATTCATTTAACGTGTGTAACGCAACGGAAAAACAAAAGGACATCAACATTTAGAAGCTTATAGAAGTATTCAAGTAATATTAGGTCGTTATAAGATTAATAGAATTATTTTAAATCTGCTTTTTTCGAGGGAATCACATAATTCGTTCATATTCTGCAAAACCTCTTACGAGTATCATTGATTGCATGTCAACAATGTTGGATCTTGAATGATAAAGTATACGGTATAAAATTCTTTTTATATATATAGCGTGTGAAAGTTAATTTACCTAGAATAGAAAATACGACTACTCCAGCGAAGACGGACGTTCCGCAATTTACAACAGACACTAGCACAGCATCTTTAAAACAATTGTTCCTTACAGGCATGTAGGATGCGAAGGCAATCAAACCTCCGAATGCCAAACCGAGGCTGAAGAATATCTGAGTAGCTGCATCCAACCATACTTGAGGATCTACAAGCCTGCCAAACTTAAATGATAAACAATACCAAATAAGAGCAAATAAGCTGCAAAAACAAACATATAAAATAAAAAAGTGTACCTATCACTTATTACACAAAGCAAATTGTATACTTTAAAATACAAAAGCACTTCAAAGGCATACAATATATCGATAGTTTTCACCCTAGTTACCTCCCCCGTCGTTCCGTTCCGGAAGAGGCTCCACTGTTGGGCACCGCGTTTCCACCATATGAGATTTACAGTGTCTGTGTGCCTTATTTTAAAGTCATTGCCAAAGAAAATATTGTTTGTGAATTAAAATCTGGTCATTTCAAGAAATTTCAAATTCATACTAGATAAAATCTCATTTAAATTCATAATTAAAATTTAAAATAGCCTATCAAATGACCGCTATGAGGTCCAACTAGTTATATACTGGAGTCGAGATAATGTGTTATTTCTTATGTATCGGCAAGATGGAAAATCTAGTCAAAAGCAGACGACACTTCTAGACACTTCTAGTTCATCATAAAGAATTAAGCGTGTATTTTGTACTTACGTCAGGAACAAAGAAGTGATGTACACCATGTTGAAATCCATCCAAGGTCACTCCCCGGAAGAAGAAAATCACCAGGACCAGGTAGGGGAATGTTGCCGTAAAATAAACAACCTGGGAATAGAAAAAGTTTGTAGAATGAGAAAGAGAAAATGTTCATAAATATCATACATGTAGTTTTTTTTTTTTTTTTTGGGGGGGGGGGGGGGGGGGGGTTTTTTTTTTTTTTTTTTTTTTTTTCTTTTTTTTTTTTTTGTCGTTATTATTTTAATGTTATTTGTGTTGTTGTTGTTACTATTGTTGTTGTTATCAGAATCAGAATCATCATCATCATCATCATCATCATTATTATCATTTGCATTCTTTTTCATTTAGCCTTATTTTTCTTTTTCAAAATAAAATAATTTTGAATCTATGAATATTTACCTTTCCACTAGAGGCTATTCCTTTGAAGATGCAGACAAATACAATAATCCAGGCAACCAGTAACGATACAACAATCCACCAGTTCATGCTGCCACCGTCGGCAACGTCACCTGCTATATTTAACGTCTCCCGGTACCAGAAATATGTCGTCGGACTACTTATCTGAAATACAATTTATTATATCATATTTGATAAAAAAAATAGTCATTAAACAATGAGAAATAACCATGAGAAACTAAAAGAAAATGATTAAGTAATTCGCTAGCTTCGTGAATGATCTTTTGAAAAATGACCGGTAATTATCGATAATAAATGTTGCATTTTGTTGTTCATCATCATCATCATCATCATCATCATCATCATCATCATCATCATCATCATCATCATCATCATCATCATCATCATCATCATCATCATCATCATCATTATTATTATTATTATTAACATCATCAACATCAGCACCATCATTATCATTAATATAGTCATCATAAGAATCATTACCATCAACAAAATCATATTTTAATCATTATCATGGACACTAACATCATCATAAATAACAATAAAAATGTCATTATCAACAAAAACGTCGTTATCATATTTATGTTATGTGTATAGAGACAAATGTGTGTCATTTAAACCAAAGTGAGACTATTTATCCCGATCTCATCCTGTCTGAATCTGATATAGACATTCTGAAACTTACCTGGCATTCTTCTTCTACAACTGTCACATTGCCGACGGTTCTTGTCGGACATTCAGCCCAAGGTAGAGGAGACATGAAACTTTGCACGAGATAGTAGAGGCACCATGCGATGATCGTGTTGTAGTAAAACCCTACCCAGAACGATACTATCGCGCTGGCAATACCGATACCGCCTAGATACGGCGATATATCGTTCCAGACGCCGACGGCGCCTTTTCTTAGTCTCTGTCCCAGTGCAAGCTCGAGATAAAATATCGGGATACCCTCTATAGCCAACATTATTGTATATGGTATGAGGAATGCACCTGTGTTAAGAAAATAGTATGCAGAAATTGTTAATAGAAATAAATCAGTTGTTATATTTTTTATTTATCTCATTTGATTATTGATTTTTTTAAAATTTTATTTCATCATATGAAAATATGTGATCACTGACGGGATGCTTATTTAGATAAGTTATATGACTATATGTATATCATTTCGTGGCACTAGTTGGAGGGTTCAAGAAAAACATACTATTATAAAACAGATTTTTTTTTATATCCTACAAAGCTACAAGGAACAAACATAGGTTTTAGATTCAACTTTATATACCGTAATTAAAAAAAAATTAAATACCTCCACCGTTTTTCTGCGCCAGATAAGGAAAACGCCAAACATTTCCTAGCCCGACGGCAAAACCGACGACGGCTAGAATATACTGAGCCTTATTGTCCCAGGATTCCCGGCTGTCTTCGGAACCTGTCGTCTCCGTATCATTTGAACCTAAAAGAAAATGTAAAGAAAATTTGTGTTGCTTTTAATTGCAAACACTAAAATTTCATTTAACTAGACTCGCGTTCATTGGACTTAGGATAAGAATATGTCTGCAAATACAGTAATTCCCTGAAAATGCGTGACAACAATTTCATATGGTTTCATTACTGAAGTCAAAAATCGCCCGAAATTGTGGGAGGGGAAATGTCTGGATTTTTTTGTCAAAATCATCATTATTACCAGAAATAATTATATGCTTGTACCTTTATTCTGGATATGTTGGTCCCAGTTTGATTGGGCCATGTACGTCATGGACAATAATTTGAAATAAACTGATAATTGTAAGTGTTCAACTGAAATCTTATAAAATAGTAGAATTTTTATGTAACACTGTGTGCGTAACCTAAGTTAATATATTCAAATTGAGGAACTACGATTGCTTGTTAATTCAACAACAATAATATAAACCGAGCTAGATGTCGGCGATCTACCAACAATCGTTCCAATGAAATAAAATATTTGAAAATAAAAGTCCGAAATTTATTTGATAGAGATTATGAATTTAGACAATATGAACTAACCTTTTCGTTGTTTGATAATAAGCCCATCGGTCGAATCTGCTGCCACTGCTGCCTCCGACTTGATCATTTCAGCTCGTTTCATATCCATCCTGAAATTCTGTTCCTTCTTTATCTAGTTAACCCTTTTGATTATGTACAATTTTGAAAGCATCTATGTAGTCCACAGTGAAAAAGTTTGCGTCGTGCACCAAATGAGAAATAGAAAGACACTCAAAAAATCGCACGGACTGTACGTAGGATATCAGATTAATTAATGCGAACAATAAGAAAATATGCATGTGCACATGAACAGCTGTTGATGGTCTGATTGCAAAACTAACACCTACTGTGTCCAGTTCTCGTCTGCTTCTGTTATTTTCATCATGTATATTACTCTGTTAATTGGTGTTACGCAACAAGTGGCGCAATGAGATCGATATCTCAACTGACTGTCATTCAAAAATTATTTCATTTCCCCCCGAAGGCACGATTAACGTGTTGGTGTTTGCTTACGCTGACCAATGTTCCTTTATCAACATAAATTCAAATAGTGAAGGTCATTCGGTGCATACAAATTAAGTACGAGATAAAAATTCTTTACTTATAATTTAACTTGTGGAGAACTTGCTTCTTTTGTGTATGTATATACACTCAAATTATTTCGTAATTTAAATAATAATTGAGACTTGATTCTGAAGATAGTGTTAAAACAAATATATGTATATTTAAGTTAGAATTAAACTTTTTGACACAAGATTTTTTTTCCAGTAGACAGTATATTGAGCACTGATTTTTCCGTCATAGTATTTTCCTTCAGGTTATTATCCGTTTAAGTTATTTACTTGGTTGATAAAATATGATATGAATTGAATTATCTCCATTTATTTATTCATTTACACCCCCATTCCATGCATATTATAATATGATACTAAACCGGAACTTGCACATTACATGTTACTATACACTGGGATGTATCGTATGTTCCAGCTATACAATTAAAAAGAGGAAACTGATAGGAAACGAAAACCGTTTGTGTTTATGTTGTGCAGTCGAAAAAACAGATTAATTTTTTATTAAAAACTTTTGCTGCATTAAAACCCATAATTGCTATATATATGACATGAAAAGAAATACAAATATAGTTCAATCATACGGTATTAAAGTATATTTAATTTTGTCATATAAGATAACGAGTTTTAAATTTCAAGAAATATCGACATTTTCAAAGATTTACCAATACGTGTATTTTATAATAAAAAAAGCCGTTGTAGATAGTTTCATCATTATTTCAATATATATGACTGTTTTAGCATAAATCAAGGTACATTGCATATATATTTACATAATACCGGTGTATTAATTAATAATATACCTTATTAATCCTGTGTTGATATAGTCATATTGAGGAAACTTTGTATGAAATTATTTTTACAGTCCTTTCGTTGAAATATACAATATACTTCTTAATTTAATAATGCTATATTAGGTTTCCAATATGTTTCATATCTGGGTGACTGATGATACTTATCAGTTATTATTGCAACAGAAACAATATCTTCTGGTTTTGAAAAATATGATTAGTGTTACAGGTTTTTTTAAACAATGTGTATTAAGTATAACTGCCTAAAAACAATTTGTTTATTTCCCGAAAAAAAAATCAACATTAATTAGTCTGTATTATACAAATCACCTACAATTATGCAGAAGTCAGATATGAACCAAGCTCGCCACCACCCCCTACCCAAAGGAGAATCGCGGGTTTTGACTTTGCCTTATAACCTCCTGGTAAACACCTGCAATGCGGGATCATTCTGATGGTTATTTATTTATTTATTTATTTATTTATTTATTTATTTATTTATTTATTTATTTATTTATTTATTTATTTATTTATTTATTTCTCAAAACCTTATGTTTTTTCTTGTTTTTTTTCTATCTCGGTATCTTGTTACGGTTTCCGAAAAGATATTCATTTGCTAGATCTATATATGTATGAACTTTTTTTCCATCTTTATCTCTGTTGGTAATTTGTATAAATATAGTGAATAGGTATTTTGTATGGTATTTAAAACAAAACAACAGCATTTTGCTACCTTTACGTCACATAACTGCATGTTCAGGACATACTTTTAACATGCACTTTATCCATTATTTAACATCACAAATCACACGTTAGATATTTCTAAAGACTAAAAAATAGGGATTTCTGAGACATAAAGTGCCTTAAAATACCACTTATAGATACCATGCTTTGCAAGTTGAAGATAAAAAAAATTCCCTTCTACCCCCAGCACTGCCTGCCCCAGTGAAAATTTTTGGTATATTACTATAATCTTATTTCTTTTCGTTCAAGCGCTTTATTTCTTCTACATAAATGTTTGTTCAGCAAATCGGTTTTTAGAGCTTTCTACATCTACGCTATATACCGATCTAAAATGGTTGAATTTGCAAGTTAACAGTGGAAAGCACCGCATTAAAATTGTTTCACTTCGTGCGCTATTATATGAACGGACAGGGACATCGGAAGAACGAACAAACCTCCGCCAGTCAGGGCACCGATGGCCAGGGATATAAAGTTTAAAGCTGAACTAATTTTATCAAAAAACCTATTTACACTAACTTAAACAATTTGGTCATGGAAGTCCAATAAAAGTGCATTTACATATTTTCCGTAATCACATGAAACCATGTTGCTAAATTACTTTTTTGTTTATATAAGGTGTTTTTGTTGGAAACCCCGACATATTGGTATGTAATTAAGATGGCAATTTAAAAGTAAGGATAACTATGACAAATTCATTGAATGCTTTAGAAAACATAGGAACAGAACTTTAACTTAACTCGCCAAAAAAGTGTCTTGTTTAATGTTTACAGAGATTGATCACCAAGGATTCCATGCATTATTTCGATATGATATCCAACATTTAAATTTTAAAAAGTTTCCGTTCATTTACCAAAAGATTCATGCATTATTTTGATATGACATCTTATTTTCAGTTTTGACTTTCAATCTAAAGATATCTGCCATCATTACAGTATCTGTCATGACTGGTGCCGGTTATACAGTATGATCAAGGTTCCGATTATACACCGTGATTAAAACTCGTAACAGAGCCAATCATACTAAGAAAATATTGAAGAAACAAAAAGAATTGTTTGTGTTTTCAATTTATTCAACAATTATCATTTGATGTCTATACGTACAATAAATATGTTTTAAGTATCATATATGAAAAAAAAAATAAAAAAAAAGATAAGACCTATCACGGATTTATATCCGTGGACTTAAAAAAATAATGAATATATATTGCAATGAAAAAAGTATACAATGCTGAATTGCTAAACTAATGTTTAATTTATTATTGAATAATCAAAATGAATATATTTTAAGTATCACTGATGAAAAATTATTAAGACATCAAATTCAAAGCTATAATAATGCATCTAAGTAAGGTAGTTTTTGTTATCAGTTTCAGCAGATATTTACAAGTCTGTTTTGATCATTTAATCTACTTCTTCGACGGTAGGTCCACCTTGTCCAGCTCCCGTATTCTGATGCTGACCTTGATTTTTTCCTCCGTGAAGTTTAACCATGATAGGTGATATTTTCTTCTGGATTTCCTCAAGTTTGTATTCAAACTCCTCTTTTTCGGCTGTTATATTATTGTCTAGCCATTTCACGCATTCTTCGCACGTGTTTTTCACAATTTCCTTGTCTTCAGACGACAATTTATCGTCTGTCACTTCTAATACAGACTGTTTCACACTGAACACATATGCTTCAAGTTTGTTTCGTGCATCCACTCTTTGTCTTTGTTTCTCGTCCTCTTCGCGATATTTCTCTGCTTCATTCACCATTCTGTCGATATCATCTTTTGAAAGTCGACCACGCTCATTCTTTATCGTAATTTTGTTCATTTTATTGTTACTCTTATCTTGAGCAGAAACATTTAAAGTTCCATTAGCGTCAATATCGAAAGTCACCTCAATTTGTGGCACTCCACGTGGTGCTGGTGGAATTCCGGTGAGGTCAAAGCGTCCTAGTAAATTGTTGTCCTTGGTCATTGCTCTTTCACCTTCAAATACCTGAATACTGACAGCTGGTTGATTGTCAGAATATGTTGTAAATATCTGAGACGCTTTCGTCGGTATTTTGGTATTTCGTTCAATGATTTTCGTCATAACACCACCTGCTGTTTCAATACCAAGTGAGAGCGGAGCAACATCGACTAGAAGAACATCTTTGATTGCTTCTGATGTATCACCAGAAAAAAGGGGTGCCGGGGACGCGGGGGCCAAATTTTGCTACAGCCTCTTTCAGGGTTTGAAGTTTTGTTCAGTTTTTTTACCTTTCCCAAAAAGCCCTTGAAAAACATTTTCTAAATTTCTTCGGTTCTTGTTGTTTACCAAAAAGAAAAACCCTTCTTTGTTTTCTTAAAATTTTATCAAGTTTTTGCATCACGGAGGTTTTTTTCCAAAGGGGTTCCATAGTTGCCCCGAAAACAGATCAAAAATCAAAATTTCGCCTTGCTTTTTGGAAATTTTGGAAATAAAAAGTCAATACCTTAAAAACAAAAAAGGTAAAATTTCCCAAAAATTTGGGCCTTCGGCACTGCTGGGAAAATTTTTGGGCTTTGCTCGCTCACAGCCCGTTCCCCAATCGACCCCAACTTCGGGGCATTTTTACTATGCCCTTTTTTAAATGTTTACGTTTAAACTCCTCAACAAAGTGATTGACCATTCTGTTATCAAAATCCTCACCTCCAAGATGTGTATCTCCTGCTGTAGATCTGACCTCGAAAATAGATCCTTCATCAATTGTAAGAATGGACACATCAAATGTCCCTCCTCCAAGGTCAAATATTAAAACATTCTTTTCATCGTTTAAGTTTTTATCAAGTCCATACGCTAAGGCAGCGGCTGTCGCTCGTTGATGATTCTCATTACATTAAGTCCAGCAATTGCCCCGGCATCTTTTGTGGCGAGTCTTTGAGCGTCATTGAAGTAAGCTGGAACTGTCACAACAGCGTTTTTAATTTTCTGACCAAGATATGCTTCTGCAGTTTCCTTCATTTTTGTCAGAACCATTGAACTAATCTTCCTTCCGTGCAAAAGGTTTTTTCTCTCCTTTGTATTCGCTCGGATTTTTGGTTTGCCCCCGTCATTGACGATTTTTAAACGGCCAATTTTTGGCATCATTTTGAAACACTCTGGTCCCTCGAACTTGCGACCTATCAGGCCGCTTTGCGTCAAAGATGTGTTTGCCGGGTTCATTGCTGCTTGATTTTGGCCGCATAACCAATTAATCTTTTCGGAGTCTGTGAACCGCGACGTAGCTAGGCGTGGTCCTGTTGCCCCTGGTCATTTGCGATGATTTCCACTTTCCCGT